GTTCAACATGCATCATGATAATCTATAATGGGATGGGGTGACCAGGCGCGATGACGTAATTGATGCTTATATAGACAATCATGATGTAAATCACGGGATTGTTTGGTTCAGATCATTTACAAACCGCCGTCCTGAAGCTGGAATGTTGCTGAGTGCGGCTTAAAACAAAGACAAACAAATCTCGCAGTCTTTCAGTGGCAACTTTCTCGTTCAGTTTTCACAAACATGCCAGTCCAGATTAAAGAATTTGTCGCTGACAGAGATAAGAATTTGAAATTTGTTACCTTCTTCCGTCTTACCTATGTTTAACAGCGTCTCTCGGACTTTGTCATTGCGGGGCGGTGGGGTAGCCTAGTAATTAAAACGCTCGATTCCCCACATGGGCACAATTTCTGGTGTCCCCCGCCGTGATATTGCTGGAATATTGCTAAAAGCGGCGTAAAACCATACTCACTCACTTTTGTCATTGTATCTCAACTACCAAAAGCAAAACTTATCAGCAGTTGATAATTTTACTGTAAGTATTCAATTCTAAAATCATAATCCATATTTTTTAGTCCTGCAACACGCCATCTGTGATATAGTGTAAAAGCTGCAGTTGATCATATGTACGAGGCGTCAAGGATGAAGGCTTTATTCCCCTGTAACCATAACAAATAATCACTTGCTATGAGCCGGTCTCAAATTCTAACAAAACCGCACAGCAGCCGAAGATTGATGTGGTCTGGGTGCTGGTTCAAGTAGCAATATAACATAAGGTCAAAACAAGACGGTGTTATTCCAATATTGCCGCTGTATAGCGCATAGACTGTGGACCTTGCGGTCTGTAAGCTGCGCACTTACTGAAATAAGGTTCCGTAAATTTTAGTTCAGTTCTTTTATTAAAGAGTTGCTAGACTCAAACCATCTGTAATCCCATTTTGTTTCAAATTGTTCTGTGTTTGTCTGCTAACTTCCATTTAATGATGTTATTCAATGAGAACATTTCTCAAGTTTTCAAATTAACTGTATTACGTTAAGGTTCATGTGGGTTGTCATTCATGATATATTTTGTGAGTGACGACTAAAGGAATGACAGCTGTCTTGGGACATCTAGGAAATCGATACTACGTCGGCGTAAGGTATGTGTTTTGTATTTATAGCAGGTTAGATAATTAACATGCTTTGCTTAAATATGAAACCGGACAAATTATACCGTTAAAGGCAGACGGGGGCAACGTCTTTAATTACATCTTGATATTTTATATGTCTTAGATCTGACAGTGGCAGCGTAATTATGTTCATTTCATTTCTGGTGATATTTATTTATGTGTTTGATGGTAATTAGTGTCTTGGTTTTCAATGCTATTTTGCTTTGCGCGCAATGGAATCTGTATCGCCACGTAATTGAAAGTAGTTCTTTGGCGTTGACTCTTTGTAGTTTATTCAAATGCGGAGTAATGTTCATAGTCTTGAAAAACGATGTACACGTATCCATTAGGTGCAGTTAAATATGCATGCGCCATATGTATCAGGTGTGATACGTATACTTCAATGTATGGAGTCCTCATTTTAACTGTCCATTAGTTTTAAGCAAATATCATAAGTTGTTAACATGCAAAGATAACAGTTTACTTATAAAAAATTCACTATTTTTTAAACATGCACTATCTAAAAGGTATTCTATCCAATGCTAGAGGAAGCATGTATGTTTAAATCTATATAAATGTTTAAAAAACATTGTCTATACATCATATATCACATTTATTGTACACGGGCCAAGGCCTTTATACCGATTAAATTATTCTCTCTCTATTGGACGGCCATCTTTTCTCTGACCATGGACCAATGAATACTTCATCGGTATGAAAGACTCCTACCGCAACATAAGTAAATGATAAACCACTTTGGGAATGTCTGAGGTCGATATATCATATAGAATACGTCGAGTGTATGTCCTTTTTCTTATTTTCTATTATAACTTTGAAGTGCTTTGCTCTCTTATCCTGAGGCAAGGACAATGTGTGGATATGACATTTGGACTGCTCAGAACACATTGCGAACACAGACAAAGGTAACCATAGGCTTGAGGAAAGGGTAAGTTGATTTGGTAGGGGAGGACATGCTTACCCTATTCGCTAACACCTGGTGTCATACCTGATTATCAGTGATCCGTTCACGTAATTTTCTCCTTCATTTTCCCGTTTACGTCCAATGGAATCTGCTGATTTCATTGACGTTTAATAGTTTCCCAATATTCTTCAAATATCAGCAAAGAGTCATAAGAAATGGAAGTCGCACATTGTACCAATATTGGAATCAAACCCGGGATGTCAGAGTCACGTACCTTACCTCTGTCATAAATTGGCAGAATGCGGATTCTTCTTATGGAACACAAAGAGTGTGTCGTGATGCTGTAACACTAATATGATTCATTTTGGAAGGAATGGTCGATCTGTTAACTTACTGTCAAGAAAGGCTCCCGAAATTGATGTCTATGTGACAGTCTAGACTTAATAGCAGGTTGGTAGCCTTAAACACTCATGTCTTCAGATTTATTAGTCTAACATCCCCACAGCATGTGAAATCTGAGAAGCAACATGTTAAATAATTCAAGTATATATTGCCAGGAAGAAATGGTATAACATGTATATGTGGATGCGTTAATGGACACGGTATGACATGCATACTTCCCTTGGTACTTCAGTCGTATCAGATGTGTTGGAGAATAGAGTAATATTCAGTGCAGGCAATAAGTACGCTCAAACCAATGCCCGTGTGGCTTCTAATGTTGCTAAAGAAGTGGGAAGTATTGTGGCAAATGTGATCGACTACAGCAAATGAGACGTTGTATCACTCTCTTTACGTCACTCCTGGATACAGCCATTAAGCCTGACACCAGGCGATGGTATGTCAGATAACAACATAATTTCCTGTTCTACAATAATGAGACAACGAGGCTTCGTACATTACTTTGTCAATGTGGGCCGCCTGGAGGCGTCCTTATGTAATTTCAAATGACATAATATAACTTTGCAGAGTTATTAATCCAATTTCGGCATGAGAGATACGAGTGTTACGCATTCTTTTCGGTATAGCTTACGACAATTTTAATTCAAGACAAATTAATGTTTGATCTAATACTATTTTCAGTACAAGTTTCTTTTAAATAATGTTGTTTTCTAGCAATTACCTCCCCCCACACCTCTTTCCCACCCACCCCCACTTCCCCACCCATCACTCCTTCTCACACCTCACACACACAGACATATAGTGATCGTATTTATTCTTACTTGGAACTAATGCAGCCTTCTCTCACTATGTAAACTCACTTTATGCAGAATGCGCCGATGGCTTCTTATGCACGCAGATAATGAATTTCCCTCAGGATTGTTCAGACGAACAAATGTATAAGTCAGTATCCATGCTTTGGACATGATCGGTGGTGGAATAAGTAATATATTAGTTGGACTAGAGATAAAAGGCGTTCGATTCCACACATGGTTACGGTGTTTGAAGTCAGTTGTTGCTGTCCTCCTCCCTGACAATATTGCTACAAGATGCTTAAAGCAACATACAGACGTTGACAAACTATTGATGCTCTTCCATACAAGCTTTCATCCTCTGTTTCATATTTCTCCTTTGTGGAAGGCTAGTCATGTAACTTATGAATTAAAAAGTAACCTTATTGTCTTCAAGAGTAAGAAACCTTCATTTCTACTGACTCTACTGTTGTATTAGAGGCAAATATTATCGAAATACCATTAAGTGAATTTGATCTTGTTTTGTCCTTCAAACCAATACCAGATTGTCTGTAGTTATTCCCATTATTCAGATGTTCATTAAGAAAGCAACAATTTGAGCGTGGCTGACGTACAGGTTGTTCTGTGTAACCGTGAACCCATACAAGTGTTTTCATTACTTGTATCCTTGTATTCACCTCACAATAATTTTCTTCAGGAAAACATGGTCGAAGTTTGTACAGTGATATTGCTTAACGCTGAATCAGTAGTATCTTAAGCGGATGCTAAATTATAAGAAATTATAAGAAATTATAAGAACACATATCTTGCGTCCATTTTCGGTCAATGTCTGGACGTTGAACCTTCGTGGCAGAGACTCAATCGAGACATAATAATTGTATTTAAGGTAAGTATCATGTCTGCATTGATAATATCCATAATGCATTCTGAGGATGAAAAGGGAGTGAATTTTTAAAGCCATGATTACAATCCCCAATCAACCGGACAACACCAGCTATTAAACTATGAAGTCATAAAAATACAGCATCGTGTAAGACGTGTATTATTTCTCAACGAATCTCAATAGATCAATGTGTAATATTACTGTTATATCCATTCATTCCACCAGCAATTGCAATATCTATTTTATAGTTCCATTACTTCCCATATACAAAATGCCATGACATGTCTGCTAGTCGTAACCGTGGAATTCATTTCAGGAGCCATCATTGCAGATTCGTCTTTCTTTATTGGTGGTAATATAGTCTGATGATTTAATGATGTGCGATATCATATATATATCAAAACACACGGCATCTTGTCAGTGGCAATGCCAACATCTAATGAAAATGGATTTATCAAAGATTATACGTTAATAAGGCAAGGAAGGCCCAATGTCTTACTCGCCATTACTTACGTGCTGCGTAATAAAGCCTATCGCAAACAACTCTTCAGATAGCAATGAAACTGTGATATCAATAGCATAAAGAACTTTGGCGTAAGTCTGGGATCGTACTTTAATGATCGTAAGAAGAATTGGGTGAAAGCAACCGGAGCAGAAAATATATCGTCAAAGAAAGTGATTTATTTCATCCTATTATCATAAAACCTAGTCATCCAACATATACAGGCAAAACTAGATACCACATTTATGAATTTGGTTCCAGGAAGAGCAAAAACTTTTTGTGCATATTTTATGCAAAGTACAAAACGTTAAACTTCGAAATAGTTAAATGATTCCACATCATATAAACTAGCGTGCTGTAGCGTTGTACTTACATGTATGGATTCTGCGAGGTTAGGTGCGATGTTGCCAGTGATCCTGCAGGTCGCGATGTCTCTACTTCCAATCTGTCTCGCAGTATCAAGGGCCGAGCATCAAGTCGACACGTTATTATATCGTGAGAAGGACCCCGATTGGTCGACGTCACAGCCCGGAAGCCAATCAATTCTCAGTCCCGATTGGTCGCCTACTCACCTATGTTGAAAGACTGTTTACGTCCTAGGACCATGAGTAGGAACTATTCGATGAGAATGGCGACAATGGTGAGAATATTGAAATTTCCTCACACCGAGAAAATTTGGCGGATGCTGCGTTAGAAATCGATATTATAAGCAGATGAGGAGTAACGAGAAAAGGATAGGTGTAATGGTAATACTGAAGAAGGTGGGTGTGCAAAGTAACCTCAGCCCTCACTTTACTGATACATTAAGTAAATGCTCCACCAGCCATGCTTTAAATAGTACTTGCTTGTCGGCTACGATTAATAGAAAATATCGCATGAAATGAAAGACCCACAAGTGTTAATGGGCACTTTAATGAGCACATCGATTTCAACGGAGGATTCTGATACTGATAAACTCCTACATGATCATGTTCTAAACTTGGTTGTTTCTGTGTCGTTTCAACCTTTTAAACAACATGCGAAGTTGTTACCTTTTTGATAAAAATAATTTTGTAATATATGCCTCTACTCCCACATTATTTGTGAACATACGGAAATAGTTCTTCTTTTAGGTAAGAATAAATAATAATGAAAACTGAAGCTAGTATTTCCATCTCACAATTTGCCTTGTTGTGGGATTAGCGGGTATTGAATGTTAATAATGTCTAATGTTTTTTAAGCATTTTCAAATAATTGATTACCGTTTGTTGAAGATAAATCGGTAAGATATTACAGCGAAAATGGATCTTTTAAGTGTATCACGGCCATGCATGCATTTGCGAATGTCATTTATCATGCCCTATAACATCATTGGGGTTAATTAAATGACGTCATTTCGGCCCTTTGATTGATAGTAAGAGTTGATCTTACCTAAGGTGAAAATCATGTAACTTTTCAAATTACAGCCAATCGCAAGTGTATCTGTAACTATTTAAAATGAAAAGAGTTTAAACTGCCATGAAAGTCTTCATGAATAATAATCAAATGCCATTCCGGTAACGCCAGATATGTGACAGTTGAGATACTGAAATTGTTTCTTGGGCAGTTGGTTCACTAACATCGGGCGTGCTTCATTTTCCGCCTCGCTGATCCCTGCTTGACTCCAATCACGGAGTAAAACCCATGGGAGTATGAAATTCCTGTGCATTTAGAAGAAGGCAACAACAAGCCAAAGGTCAGGCAGCAATGGCTGCAAATATCGCACTGGTTTTTACTTAACAAATCTAAGTACCCTTCTTTTTCACATTTTCTTGAACTATACATTTTTATTGTTTGATACCTGTATATTCCAAATGAGAAGTACACAAATTTCATGTGACATTCAAATCATTGACCTTTTAATTTTTAATTTTTTTTTACAAAATATGTAATGGATTTGTTGGCTTTATACATTTCCGTCACACACAAATCAATCGCGATTTTCTCAAAAACAGAATTAGTATTGATATTTGTCAAATTTTTGTTCATATTCCTAATTCTGTCACATTTTCTGAAGAAGCGTGAAGATGTGTTTGAACGGATGTACAGCTGGCACGCTCATATAACAACAAATCTGGATTATTCACTGATGTGGGAGTGAAAGAGTTTGTTTCTAATCACGTCGAAATTGTGTGATTATTCTCCACTGATCCTCCTTGTCCAACAGAGGTGATCTCCAAGTTAGTTAGACACCCTGCTCGGAGCTGTGATTGTCTCCACAGACCTAATCCCATGTTAATCAAGGACTGAAAGGTGACATTTGTTTACTCTGGTATTGCAGGAAATAATGATTTTGTATCAGTGGATTCTGTAACTGATATCTTCAGGTAGGTTATTCTGACATTGTCATTAACGTCAATGCCAGTAACCACCAGTCTCGATTATCACAACAGGTTCCATTTGGTCATACATGACAAATAGCTGGAAAAGTTTGCCAATTGATCACTGACAATGAATAATGACACCAGGTGTTAGCGAATAGGAATAAATATGTTGAAGAATATGAAAGTCGTGTATTTATACACACCTACCAACGTAATTTTGATATGTTTATTACAGTGAGTGGGGGGAGTTGGGGTTTACGCCGCTTTTAGCAATATTCCAGCAATATCACGGCGGGGGACACCAGAAATGGGCTTCACACATTGTACCCATGTGGGGAATCGCACCCGGGTCTTCGGCGTGACGAGCGAACGCTTTAACCACTAGGCTACCCCACCGCTCCTGTTTATTACAGATTCTATCGATGTTTTTTTGTTGTGTGGAAGTTCATTTGTTTGGGAGCATGTGCAACTATTTTTTTACGGTTTTATTTTGCAAAGAATGTACCTTAGATTGCTTGAAATATGTCTCTGGCTTCTCTGAATAAGGTGTTCCATAGAAATAGTATTACGACACAGTAAACAAGCAAGGAACAAAGTAATGCAAAACACGTAACATGTTGCTAAACGTGTATATACAGTAAACGCTGTTAATGTCTTGAATAATGACTTCATGCTTTCATTGTGTCCTTTCACAATACCCAAATTAATATTTAACCAGTCGCAGATTCTTCTGTTTGTCATGTTCCATGTTATTCTCCGCATAAGAGGTTCGTTCGTCGAATTTCCACATCAACATTTTTGGCCTTGAGACGTTAACCGGAATATTATGAATATACCCTCAACTTAGATATAAATGACAAGACAGGAGGGTACAAACAATTATATTTTATGACAAGTGTGCTCTAAGAAAGTGATTTAGGTAGATCAGGAAAAAACTTACCGTTTTTGCTGTTCCATTACCGATTTTCAGAAATCCATTTATATAATTCTCTATGCCTATTGGAATCTATTTCAACATACATAACATACAATTGATAAATTTCTCTAGGTAACAAATTCCAGCTAGATGCAGCTTCTTATGTAATGAGTGTATTTCGAAACGTGTTTAACGGACGAAAGTGAGTAATATACGCTTGAAATACACACTCCGGTTTTAAAACGAAACGAGTAAGTGTAAGCATGAAATGAGTAATAGTTAAACATTGCACATTTATTTACACATTGCCAAATTCAACGTTGAGAAAGCAACATATAAGGGGTGAGGTGAGGTGAAATTGGGTTAAACGTCATGCTTGAGAATATTTCGCTCATATGACGACGTGCATGCGTGTGTATATGTATGTGCGGCTGCTTGTACTAGCCAAGACTGAAGCTGGTTTTATAGTGCTAGCTCACTGAGATACCATGCCGCAGTGAAGCATGAATACCCCACTCAGACACATTATACTGACTCCGAGCCAACCAGTCCTCGATGTACCCATTAATGCCGAGCGCCAGGCAGGGACCAACAAGTACCATATTTTAACGTCTTTTGGTATGACGCGGTCGGGGATCGAACCCGCGACCTTCCGCTCTCCGTGCGGACGCTCTAACCACTACACCACGGAGGCGGTCACATAAGGGGGGATAGCGTATTCATAGCTGATGACGATAGAATCCTCACTCAAGATGCTGAGACTATTGTAAGAAAGGATAAGATGCAGATTCTTCAACATGTTCGCAACAGTATTAATACATAGTCAACATCACATTCAACGGAAAATCCAGCTGTACAGCAAAATGGACTCGTGCGAAGGACGACCTCTCACGTTGACGGTGGCATTGCATTCTACTCAGCTGACGGTTTTCTGTTATGAAATTGATATGAATTGTCGCTAAGTAACACCAGCGCGGCAATCACGGAGCAACAAAGATTCTCCACACAGGATCCCATCGTTTACCATGAATACGACGTTTCTAGAAGACTCGGTGCAAGGAGTCAAGGGTCATTTACAGCACGACGTTCAAGGCCGTGTGATGAATGGTGTGATTCCGTTTCGATATAATGGTTCTTTATGGTGATGAGTAGAACCTTTATAAAGTCTGATACATGTATTACTACACTAGAACAGCGCAAGCCCCTATACTTTCAGTATTTAGACATATTATTATGTGTCCTGCTTTCAGTATTTAAACATAATATTATGTTCACGTGTCCTGCGACTGATAAAATGTAACTGACAAAACTGAAACATATAAATCTGTTTACGCATATTTGATTTAAATCACGTAAATATAATTATTGTAAATATTGGGAGAGGGTTTCATTAAGTTGGATAACTTGTGCCCAAACCATTTCTTCAATGAATAAAATATGTTTAAATCAAATCAACAAATACAAAAATAAGTATTACATGTGAACAGTGCATCGACGTTTGATGAGCAGGTATAATGTTTGTTTGTTGTTTAACGCCACATTCAGCAATATTCCAGCTATAATAATCTGGACCAAACAAACCGGTGACCAACAGCATGGGCATCGATCTACGCAACTGGGATACGACCAATGTCGCCTCTTACGACAAGCATGGGTTGATGAAGACCAATTCTAACCCGGATCTTCTCGAATGGTATGCATGATGAGGCAGCGCAACTCTGATGGCAAATGGTTGGTGGCTATTCGGGAGTAGATCCTACATCTAGAAGCAGAGTAGGCGTTGTCGTGAACAATTACACACTGATAACGACGCCTACATTAAAACATGCGAGTGGTGCCGAACCTAATCCCTCTGGGATGTATTGTTTATACACAGCGTTACATAGCTGCATTACCGATATTACATTATGATGTGTACCGATATGCTTCGATCATCGATTCCTGAAAGTAGGAAACATGTTCCCATCTTCTGTACTTTCTAGTCAAATTGATGATGATTTATGAATCTATTAATTTTGCAGTAAGAACAACAAAGGGTCAAATATCTACACCACAGTTCCCAAAGATACTCGTAATCTAGCATATTATAATGGAAGAATATACGTTGTTTCTCATTACAAGTTTCTTTACATTTGAATACTAAGTGTAAATATTTGGGTGAAGCCCAAGCGTCGTCCCTGTAGCTGTCCGATGACAAGAGATCGTTGGTCCTTAAAA